TGTTTAGCTGAGGGGAAGCGTCCCCTCTACTAATTGTGGACACCTACCTAAAAAAATTACAACTATTACAATAATAAGAAAAATTTATGTGATAAAAAAAGCTATATACAAGATTATTATTAAAATTCACAAAGGCAGCAATTGCATCTTTCATTGTTTAAAAAGTTACTGAAGTCACGTTTCCGAATTGTTTTCTTAAATGTATTAAGAGACTGACAGTTTCTTTCATCGGTCGTCAGGTGACTCCAGAGCTTTGGCCCCAGGTATCTGATGGAATGTTTCTGCCGTACGTTACTGTAGCAAAGCGGGGCAGTGAAAAGTCTGATTGCCTCAGCCTGTAGGATGACTGATAGGGCTTAAATAGCTCACGGATCGGATTAATAATAAATTTTTTTTAGTATTATTTTAGTTTTTAACAGGTAAAGACGAAATATATGTTTCAAAGAATCTTCTCTATCTCCTTAAAGGTTCCTTTCTATCTCTTTCCCGTTCAGTTTGTTTTACTTTCATCCCAAACAATGGTTGCCCATATTTGGTGACCTAGCAACACGGGAAACAAAGGCATGATATTTGCAAGTTCATGTAATGCCGGACAGATGAGCAATCGATGTTCAAAATTTGTCAATGTGAAAATCCACTTTGTGCACCACCAAACGTTGAAATCGTCAGGTAGACAGGCGTGTTGTGTGTTTGTTATGAGGTATGAAAAGAGGTGCAAAGATCTCTACCTCGAATCGTTTGCTTCGTCTGAACACAAGCCAATATCGTCGTGAATACAAGAGCGGGGCTGTTTACCATGGCGAACTCGTAGGAAGTAAGAAAAGTGGTAAAGGGATCTTTAAGTGGCCTAATGGAGCTTGTTACGACGGGGAATATGTTGACAACACAAGACATGGTTATGGTAAGCAGTACTGGCCAGATGGCTCTATCTACGATGGTGCTCTAGTGAGGGATCTACGGCATGGTGTTGGAACGCTGACTTGGGCAGACGGAGAGGTAAGCTTAATTAAGCTGCGCTAAGCTTTACAAATACCAACGTTAAACTGTCTGCTATTTCATAAATAAGCATCAGTATTGTCCACGGAGAATCTTAGCATGCAGTTTTGTGATTGGCCCATGAATGGAAAAGCTCAAAGATAGCTGAGGTTACATGAAACTAAATAGAAATGTATATAATTGGCCGAAAGTAATGTTCTCGAGTCAAGTTACTAAAGTACGTACGCTTCTGCACTTATCGACTTTTCAGGTTGAGGTTGGGCATTATTCTCAGTGTCAAACGCTTTTTTTTGTATTATTTTACTTTAAATGTGTCTTTGCTGAAATAAAAGCTGAATATTCGCCGCAAAGAGTATTTTCTTGACCGTTCGTTTGTTAAGGCAGAAGCCAGCTGCGTGCTTTGTGTACATACACTTTCCAGTGGAGCCGGCTGTTTACCTTATCTCAAGTAGCTTGTTATATGTGTTGCAATTAATTTAACGTGTGTGGTGAGCTAAACAGAGGTTTGGATGTCAAAAATATACAACATAGTTATACGCTGTACAATGTAGCTTTAAAAAGCCTGCATGTGGATGTAAATTAATTTTTAATTATTGATAAGCTAATATGAATCGCATTGTATCGTTGACATCAGAGTTGAAATTAATAAAGTACGGCAGATTTTGTTGTTCTTGATCAAATTTACAATGTACATGGGATACTGATTAAAAAACTGATATTCAGGGTGCAAAGAAAACAAATTTTCGGGCAAGCTTTAGCTATGATGTCCATGTACTAGCTGGTAAATCATTCTCTGACATAATTCACTGCTCCTGGGCTATGGACTTTCTTTGCACACTGATATTAATCTTCCGGTACTACGTTCTAGCCAATAAAAACTGCTAAATTTCAATTTTGGGTGAAAGGGTACCTGGCATTTATCAGGTTGTGTCAACAAAAGAATATTGTAAATATACACTGAAACTGATTTGTTAAAATTAGTTGTATATCCATACCTCCCCCATGGAAGGGATTTTTCTTCTAATATCCCCCACCCCTTGGGAAATATCAATTAAGCTTCATACATTTCTTTAAATGTTTTGGTCTTACAGAACCTCTCACCCCCAGGAAATTTCAATCCCTTCTGTGGGGAAATATCAATATTTTCTAGAACTGGACATTACATGTAGTACAAAATAATATATTTTCTCATGAATATTTTGTGGATAGTCTGACTCAGTCATCACACGATAAGAACAAGGGTCTTGTGCGGCCTTCAACCTCTCTAATACTGCATGAAACATACCCAGCATTATAGCTATGCAATGGATGTAAAGGGTTGTTTAACTTTTGCCCTTTCCTCATGTATGTGTGTGTGCCTGCAGTATCAGGTATTACACTGGAAATAAGCAATTCATTTTGTTAGAGAAGTCTTTGTTACAAAGGTCACAGATTTGACATCAGATCAGTACACTCTGAGAAGTGCAAGAACCTTACAAGTCAGATGAGTGTGGTAGATCAAATTATTACATTACATTGTATAACTTAATTGGGAATTATTATTTTTGCCCTGAAAGTTTAGTTCTTGTTTTTCTTTAGAGCTACTCTGGAGAGTTCTACCGAGACAAAAGGCATGGCAAAGGAGTGTACACCTGGCCAGATGGCACAAAATTTGAAGGTCACTTTGAAAATGACAAGAAAGAAGGTTTTGGAACATTTATCTTTCCTAGTGGCAATAAATTTGAGGTTTGTGCATGATGTTATAAGTTCGACGTTTTATTTCAGTTCACTATCAATGGACGATGTGGCAGCCTGTGGCTTATATATAAGCACTCTGGGTAATAATTGTACATTGAATGGGTTTAGCTTGTCCATTTTTATAGTACAGACACTATTACATTGCTGTTCTACACCAGAAGGACAGCGTGTATACTGTCAGTAAACTCTAAGTACTGGACTTTGAATTACAGTTTACTTTGAAATGCATTATAGTATTGCAGTTTCAGACCTAAATCTTTGCTTCTTATTTAATTTACTCTCCAGGGAATATATTGTAGAGATGAAAGAGATGGACCAGGAGTAATGACATACTCTAACGACAAACAAGATGTTGGTCTGTGGTCTGGTGAGCGTCTTATTAAACTGTGCTCAGTCATGGATAGTGCTTTCCTTTTTCAGCACTACTCTAACTACAATGTAAATGCTGGGAACAATTTGTCAGGCAGAGTAAAAAGAGCAAACACAGCTAAGGAAGGCTTGCGAAACACTTCACCTTCATTACAGGACTTTGATGGGGTCAGTGACAGGGAATCAATCAAAGGTCTGTCTCAGATTCCTGACTCTTTCTCATATGCAGACATTTTAGAAGGCATTCGTGGAGAAAAGGGCTCCAAGGGACCTGTCGAACAGGCGTCTGAGGAATTTTTAAGAGCATCAGCTGCAGGGGACTGTATCAAAGTGAGGGGTTTGATTGAAAGCGGAAAAGTTCATGTGGATGTTGCTGACAAAACTGGATACACTGCCCTGCTTGCTGCTTCGGTAAGTATAAGCCACATACACATGCATGTGCTGATTGTATGAAATACTGTAGATACTGTAAGTACCTTCAAGTTTTTATAAAAATGTAGTGCATGTAAATCTACATGTACCTGTAGTATTGTAGGGTAATTCAAGAGACCTCTTTTGGGTTACGTGTATAAATTTGCTATGGGCCATCTCAAACCCTTGTCAGCTCAAACTATATTTTCGGGATAAAAGAAAACTGAATTGCAGCAGCAGACAAGGAGACAAGTGGTTCTTCAATTTTCCCTTTTTTTTTTTATTGTATGTGGGTTCCCAGACAACTTGCCTAGGGCCTTGCCCATTAGGCACGTGAAAATGAAAAGCTACTTGCCCAGCAAGAAGATTATGTACTTCTCCTGGATGACTGGATGGAACTGTTTTGAACCCTGAATTTTTAATTTCTCTTATGAGTTGGAGATAGTAAGTTCAACAGTGCTTACTAAAACATTTTGTTATTTTATTATGTGTACTCCAAATACTTGATGTACTTCTTTTCTTTAGGTCAACTGCCACAGAGATGTCATTAACTGCCTACTAGACAATGGTGCCAATGTAAACAAGTTAAATGATGAGGGTCTGTCAGTTCTAGCTGCCTGCCATGTCCTCTTCTACACTAAACACACATGGAAGGATAACATCGCAGAAAACATTCCTAATGAAAACTTATTCAATTGCATACAAGAGGACTGCCAAAAAGGAACTTATATTCATCGCAATTACCGTCAAAGTGTTGTGGTTGAAGATGCCAGGTTGGAAACAAATGTTCTTGATTCTGGAGATCCTGAAGAAAACTCTGAAGATGAACGTGTAGAGAATATTCAAAACGAAATAAACCAAGACAAATTGAGTGATCCAAGGATGTCATACAGAGTTATTGAATTTACAGAAAAAACATGCAAAGATAAAGATGAAAATGGTGCTGAATTAGAAAACAATTTAAATAATAGTATGAAAATGAAATTAGATTTAAATAGAAATGGTTATAAGAAGAGTATCAATAACCAAGGAACAAAACTAATTATGGAGCATGGGGGTGATAATCAGCTGGACTCAGGAATGCTGACACCGATCAGTGATGTTTCATCGGCGCATGAAAGGAGTGTTGAAAAAACTGACAAACTAAGTGTGATGGACCCGTCATTGTTTAGTATCATGAGTGCAGTTAGTAGCACAAGGCAGCCATCTGACTCAGCTGATGATTTACGCAGTGAGAACAGCATGGAGCAGAACAAACAGGTTTTACTGGCTGTTCAGAGGTAAGCCAATCATTACAGTGTAGCTTATTAAATTCTTTTGCTGATTTTGAATGAAAACATATTGGTTGGTTGATCAGAAAATTCTAAGATAAATTTCATGATAATCATGATCACCGTACAAATTATATCTTGTCTGAGCTGCACGTACATGTACATGTACATGTACATTGTGTGATGTGTGATTTAGCACTCAGCCAACCATCACACAAGAATTCCGCAATGTACCTGAAGTTATTGCCCGTTAAGAGTATGATTACTAAAAACACAACACAGGGCCGTACCCAGAAAAAATATTATGACAGAGGTGATGCCCATAGTTAAATTCTCTTCCTAGATATTTAGGGTGTTTATGATGACTAAACAACAAAATATGAAAAAAACCCAGGCAAGTGTTTCAGCTTACCTGTTACTCACTACAGCCCTGCAACAAGAGGGGCCTTGCTTGGACTGTACTTGACATGTACCTTTATTGAACTTATTATTATTTTTTCAGGCGTCCCCATCTTGAAGCGACAGTCCGTCTCTTGCTGTGGAGAGGTGCAGACCCAAATGCATCATCTCTGCCAATGCCTGTTCTCTTTTTTGCTGTGAAAGCTGCAGACACAGCTGCTGTGGAGATTTTACTTCAGAAAGGAGCTGACACTTCTGCCAAGTTATCAAAAGAAGTAAGAAGCAGAAAATTAAGGCTTAATAATTGTTCAAGATGCATCATCTACATGTATGACTTAAGTAGCTTTATGCAAAGTTGCAGAAGGTAGAGCACTTGTATTAGTTCTTCATTTCTGCAAACATTACAAAAACTTATATTACCAAAACTTACAACAGTTATGTTAGCCATGGCATGGAGTTTTATTTCAGTTCCAAGTTTCATATACTTTTGAAGGTGATAGTGTTGTCCAAAAATTTGAATGAGATTGCAAGAACGATGACAGTAGTTTAAAAAGCAACTGTAAAGGGGATGAAAAGTACAGTGTATGATTACTTGTAGTTGTGTTATGTAACTTCCAGTATGAGACAGGATTTCAATTCTAAACTCCCATGTAACTCTTTTTGAATTTAATTAAATGCAAGGTTAGTACCGTAAGACACATTAATGTAAAACTTTTCCTAGAGATGAAAACAGAAATGCAGAGTACAGTGTGAGGGAGTATTAGACAGCAAAATTTAACTGTGCCAGTTTAGTTTACAACAACAACAACAACAATTATTGTTGTTGTTGTTGTTGTATACTTCTTTATTTTCTTTTCTAGCAATCAGGCATTGCTCCTCTTCACATTGCTGTGGCTCTACCTGATGAAACAGGAGTAGAGATCACAGAGCTGCTTCTCAAGTCTGGTGCTGACCCAAACATCAGAGATTGTGCATTTGGTGCCGAGGAGAATGGAAGAACTCCAGCACACATAGCATCTTCAAGAGAGGATAATGACCAGGTACAGTGTACTACAGCTTGGATAACATCTCCCCTGATAGGACACTCCGGTGCTGTCCAGGTTTGACTAGTACAAAATTATAAACAACCTCCAACAAAGGGCAGACACAGAGAAGTGAGACTTCTGTGACTTCCTGTGACTTGTTGTTAACTAAGGCTTCCCATATTAATTTTGAGATTGGATTGAACGTTTCAGAGACCCAAGATTTTCTATACATCATTTGCCACAGCTTGTTAAGTTAGTCACCTAGCCTTCATAGTCACTTTGAGTAACCTGATTTGTACATTGTATGTATGAGTTTAGTTGTTAATAACATTGCATCTCTTGTAGGTATCATGTGCTGTTGTGCGACTGCTGTTAGAGCACGGTGCTGATCCTGACCTGTTGTGTGAAGGACACTCTGCCCTTTCCTTGGCGATCTGTAGTGGAAATGATTTGGTAACCAAAGAAACTGATATGTCTTTAACATATTAATATAACTACTTGTTCTTGCATGTGTTTTGTGTGCACATTGATTAAGTGCAGCGAATTTAGTCAGAATTGGAACAATTTAAACAACAGTTTAAACAATAAAGTGCCAGTTTTGTTCAATTTGGTGACTTTTTTTTATGCCCGTAATATTGGGGACCTTTGTTACAGTTCTTCTTAATAGATGAGTTTCTACTGGAGTTTTCAAAAAGGTTTGACGAAAATTCTGTTCATTTCTTTGACAGGCTGTAGATACACTTCTGGAACATGGAGCTAATCCAAGCCTTCGTCTCTCCAAGGGGGTGGGGTCAGCACTATGTGCTGCTACGTCATTCATGGCTGAGAGAAGAAGGACTCCAGCTGGCAGAATAAAACTTGTAAGTTCAGTGTACTTCCTTGATGAGTCCCCACTGGCGCTTCGAAAACACAAAAGCTCACTTGACACTCTTTTTCGGTAGGAGACGTGGTAGCCTCATGGTTAGTGCACTTGACTTCTGATTGAGTAGTCATTGTTCATGCCCTGGATGGGGACAATGTGTTGTGTACTTTGGTTAGACGCTTTACTCTCACAATGCCTCTTTCCCCCTTTGTGTATAAATGGGTGCTGGCAAATTTAACATGGGAGTAACCCTCCAGGGGGGAGTAGAAATATGCCTAGTTGCCTCATGCTACACATAAAACAGAGATAAGCTCTGACTTGATGGACCACTTGGCTTGTAAGCAGACTTTACCTTTTACCACAATACACCCCTTTTACTATGTGCTGTTTCAGATAAACAAGTTAATGAGAGCTGGTGCTAATATTTTGTCTCCAATCACTGTGAGTGTCAAGTATCCTCCAGGAACTGTTGTGGATTACGCTTACAATGTGTTTTATCAGGTAAATATCTCGTGTTTCTTTCACTTATTTTGCCGCAGCGTAGATGTACATGTATTATTATACAGTTTACTGAATGAAGGAATAACAATAAAATGAAATCCCACAAACAGTTCAGCCAGATACAGTCATGGCATCAAATATTGTTTCAGATGGTCTCAGTATACATAACAGTGCAAGAAATTTGTCGAGACAGAAACCGACAATACGCTATGCTTACATTCCCTTGAAATGAGGCTTACCCGTCTGCCTTGACCTCACACGTGTATTTTGCGTTGTTCGATGTTCTTAGGATCGCAAGATCGCTCACACTCCTTACCATGCCCTCACGGTGACAGAGCGCGAGTGTTACAATGCTCGCCGGGAAATGTTGGATCATCTTGGAGATCTGTTACGAACACAGGTGTTGAAGAAAGAGAAAGAACTGATCGAGAAGCAGCTGGAGGACGCAGAAAGACAAGCTGAATGTGAGTTCTTTTGATATAGAGGAATAGGCCATTTCCGAGTTACCTTGTGCCTTTGTCTCAATACCAGTCCTTGTCCAAAACCTTTCATATGAAAATGAGCTGTAATTTACATGAAAACTGATGGACGTGTAAGTGGAACACATTTTCATATGAATGGTTTGGTACGAAGACTCGTTTTGAAACCGAGGCAAAATGCAACTTGGAAATGGCCTATTGTCTTATAAACTCCTATATAAGTGAGAGCATTCAGCATAATCTATGTACTAATGCAACAAGCGTCTTTTTTTGCGGCAGTCGCGTGATCTCATGTCCATTGCACTGTTCGTGCGGTATATGTAGCCCATGTAAAAAACATTTTTTGCGTCTAATCTGAAAGTGAAGATTGAGAAATTGTCTTGTGAAATGATTGTTCCCTGTCATCCCTGCAACGCGTCTACAAATAATCGAGGTGAACTGCACGGTTTTTGGTGACGATTATCTCAAGTCAACGCTACTTTCGCGTGTTATTAATAAAGTCACTAGACACTTCACATATGTACATGTGTATACCACTAATGAGGAAAGAAACAAACCTCTCTAGCCCCATTCAGTTTCTTGTTACAAGATTAAATATATTCCCTTTTGAATGTCGTTTCAGTAACGTTGAGTGCTGATGGAACTCCTCACTCAGCTTGGGGAATCCTGAAATCACCTGACAAAGTAAACAGGCTGAAGGAGCAGGACGCCTCCCCTGCTGGGAAAAATGACACCTTGAGATGCAGCCGGGTTAGCTTTCGACTTGAGAACGAGGTTTTTGGCGGAGACGATGGCGAAGAACGTGAAATTGAGGCTCAGGCGGATCGTGAAGTCGAGGCTATAACTGGAACTGGTGGTGAGAGTCCTGGAGTCGATGAGGTAAAAATAAAGTAGCTGTATCAAGAAAGTTTTTCAGCTCGGCTGGATTATTGAATATATTACTGTAATTGCATCTTTTTTTCAGCGAGGAAAAGATGGCATAGTGTCAGAATTATCATCAGCTCCTGACGACAGCAAAGAAAGCACTCCCTGTTCTCTCGGACCCAGTGCTCCTGAGCCGTCCATCAAACCCTCGTCTCCAGGTCGAGACGAAAACTGCGGTTTACGTATTGCGGTGACCAAGGCCGCTGACCATATGAGTATTTCTGCACTGGCGACTCAAGCTTTGAAGCAACGCAAGCAAGTGATGAAGAACCGCTTTCGATACTGTTACGAGTGCGGGCGCTCTATAGGAATTCGCTTGTCGGCCTGCACGAGGTGTAAAGAGGTTTTCTACTGCAGCAAGTCGTGCAAACTGAAGGCATGGAATGCGAGACACAGGGAGGAATGTGTCCGTCTGACAGGTGGAGGCGTCAAAACAGCTTCCAGTCGCCGAGCAGACAGCCCTACTCCAACCACCGACCCTGATGCGCCACCCCCTTCTACCACCCCCTCAGGCTCTCAAAGAAAGACTCCTTCCCGGGGGAAGGGTGAGAAGGGGCGAAAGTCGCAGACTCCTTCGGCGTCACGGGTATCTAAGCGGAGTGCTTCCTCGTCATCGACAAAGATCAAGAAATAACCGCGACATGTTGGATGAACGGAAGACTGGCAATGGTGGAGGAACAGGAAGATGGAAAGAAAGGAGAGAAGGGACTCAATTCATCGGCTGTATGCTAGGAAGGCGGCCCCACCAAATAGTGCAGACAACACTGAACATGCCATTTAACTGTGACGTCTCGCACATTCCCACTTTCATAGTTCCAGTCAAAAGAATCCTTCGATTTCCTAACAGGGATTCGTTATAAGCCTGCAGAGAGATCGAATAGCTAAGTTATACAACCTTATTATTTAGGAACGTAGACGGATTAACATCTCTTGTTACGGCAGCGTGGAATAGCATACGGAAGTAATCCGTTTTTGTCAGTTTTACAGACTGAAAAACAGACTTGTTCAACATTGCGTAATGATTAATTCCTTCTTGGTCGTGTTATGTTAGTTTTTATTTTCCTCGTGTTTGGACTCTTCGTGCAATACCTCTCACTTATGTCTTCCGCAGCCGTTTGTTGGTTGCAGTCACATGATAGCTGTTATTGCGGTTCTAAGCGATTTGACTTACAAACTAGGGAATATGGTCAATCTTCATTGTGTGACCGATGTGTTGACCATTTGGACTCGCATGCGTTCTTAACCAAAGAACATCTTATCTCAAGCTCATGCTTAGCTAGGCTCAGTTTCCAGCCGTGGGTGTTTCAGCACCCGCGCGCACCGAAACACCCACGGCTGGAGGCTGGGCCTAATGATCAGCTAACCGGTGCTTTGTTGGTTATTTGTACAAAAAGGGCAATTTTACTTGCTTTGATCCTGTATTAGGACTCTATGCGATTGGCTTAAAAAAGATCATGCCACATTTTCTTCCAAAAAGTAAGTAAAACCAAAACCAATGGTTGTTCGCTCGCACTCGTTTTCCCGCGTTTCGCGTCAGCTATATGTATCTGCTTCGAGTTTTGATTGGTTCAGTCGATTGTCTCTGTCCTTTGTGATTGGCCAGTTTTGGTTTTACGGTACTCAGTTGAAAACCTCTCTATCCGTGTAACTGGATTTTAGTATGAGTGTGTATCTGGAGTCATTATTGAACAATGTTTTATATATTTAAGCTAACAATCACTGTAATATATGATTATTTATGACATTTCTGTTTTTTAACTTTTGTGTGTGTGCTATTTTAGTGACTCGTCAGTGCGACAGCTAATAAAAAATGTTTTCATTTGATTTGTTTGATGGCGATTAGTCCGGCTATTAACTGTGAAGTCGTTTATGTTGGAAATCGATAGGTTTTTCAAAAAGTAACTTTTCGGCCGCGGTGCAAGCCGACATACATGTACCGCGCTCCTAATCAGTTTGTTTAATCACAGACGTTAGCGCCAGCTGGGAAACAGCTTAGATTGATTCTTAAATGGGGAAAAAACTGAGTAACAAACAAAGAAAAAATCATAACTATTAACTGAAATTGAGATCCCCGTCTTCTCTTGCAGTTTTACGGACAGAAATTCGCATCCTGGTGCTTAAACTGTCATTGGAAAGTTTTCCGACCTCCCCTCTACTCTTAACGGATTGTTTTAACAAAGCCCCAGTAGCATCATTGTGTTTTGGGTGGGCAGGAGAAGGATATGACATGAATTATTGATCGAAGTGCCCCCCGGAGCTTTGACGACTTATGTTGACGTGACGTCTAAAGAATATCATTCGAGGAAGCAAATGCAACTTGCGAGTTTTGGTGTTCTTTATGGTATTTTCCAAAGAACGGTGTGAGTTGTTCCGACTGATATTGTTAAGGCCCCGCTCATACTATGCCGGAGAAATTTTAAACCGCAGTTTTCTTTCTATCGTTGAACCTATCGTCTGCACTAATCCGTCGCGAAAATGGAGCTTTTCGAAAACGCTCTTCAAACCGGAGGAATTTGAAATCCCGGCTTTTCGTTTTCGTGTGTCCGGAAAACGTTTTGAAAACGGAGCTTTTCAAAAACGATGACATCGCGAGAATCATTTGATTTTCCTGACCGAGTTTCCCTCAAACAAATCCAAAATGACCGGTGATTGTTGTGTTTTCAAATTTCTCCGCCGTAGTGTGGACAGACAAAATTTGTTGCGTTTTCGAATTTCTCCGGCGTAGTGTGGGCGGAAAACATTTGATGCGTTTTCAAATTTTCTGCAGTAGTGTGGACGGAGAACATTTGATGCGTTTTCAAATTTTCTGCAGTAGTGTGGACGGAGAACATTTGATGCGTTTTCGAATTTCTCCGAAGGGGCCTAAGAAGTTCCCTTTCACGAGGTTAACTGAGTCACAACATGTTCCATAGTTCTTGGTATATTTTAATTTGTTTTCCACAATAATAATGAACATCGCGTTTCCCTAATCCAATGGCGGTATGTACATAGCAGAGAGGTAAAAACATGCTCAATATTTATTTCATCTCAAAAGTCCTTAAAATGCACTTTACCTTGTTCTCGTTTGGAAAATTCTAACCTCAAATATATTTACATGACAAATGGACGTTCTTTATATGAATTATATTAGTTCTATGTTCTGTTATCTCTGTAATCTCTTTTTAAATTTATTTTTAATTTATTTGACACATATTATTTCTTTTAAATTTATTTCTGCCCCTTGATTTCAGATGTTTAAATTCTCTCTTGACATACCGCATCTTGTAAAATAATAAATTATTAAGGACAAAAAAGGAACCGACGATCAAAATTTATAATATTTCTGTAGTCCTGCTTTATCATGAATAGTCAAACTTAATTTATTACAATCGTTTAAATGCATTTTTTAACTCGTCGAATTTTAACTTACTTTTGTTTTGTTTTTGTAAAAAGAGCATGCATCAAGGACATAATTATAAATATATTAATTTTTCATTATTTTCTGTGCGTTGTCACAAACTAAACTGAACTAGCTGTCAAGAGCTTCAAGCTTTTTAAGCAAAGACATTTTTTATTTATTTCTATGAAATGTTTCACTGCGCGAAAAACTGCAAATCGTCTCTATTTTGGATGTTAAAATTGGAACTTCCAGCTCGTGAGCTCCACTATTGATATAAATTTGACGCTAATGGCATATTTACTGTTAACCATTTATTTCTTTGTCAAACTATCGAACCACTAGGCTTCGATGTGACAGGGACCACGCCTCGATCTCCCCCGCGCCGGCGTGGGTCGAGAACGTAAATGTAGTTCTCATTCCCCCTTGATCTTGACCTCGGGTTAAATGGTGGAGCATGGACTGGTGTGGGCGCAAAACAACCGTCCCCTAAAGGCCTGGGACTGGCCGAAAACTTGCATATTCCGTCTTGATCGCTACTGTTCGTTGTGTTGGACGAAACAGACGTAGTTTCCAGTGTTGGTATCCCATAATATTTATCAAGATTATGACGTTTTCCGAACTCAAGCGCTGATATGAGCTCGTCACGTGACGAGCTGTACTCTGACGATGCCGAGTCGTACGCACGTGGATCACGTGATGCTCGGGTCCTGTCATAGCCTGTGTGATAAGGGCTGCATTCTTTTGAAGACTCAGACTCTCTGCGCTGTGGGGTTTGCACTGCTCTTATCACAGGCGTCACTTGGCTGGAACTTCGCTTGGAATTGAGGCTTGTTCGACGAAGATCATTCCGTGAAGGTCCCAGGCCCGAGTCACGTGCCCTTGATATCCCGGACGCTGGACTTTGGGAATACACCGAATGAACAAGTTCCTGGCTCTGGCCGCGACTTTTGCTGGTGCGGCTCAACCTACTGGCAGCGGCCGAGTGACGCAAGTCAATGTTAGATTCCATTGCACGTGATATACTAGCTGTATCAAGCTCAGAGCCGCCGTCAGCATGCCCGCGGAATCCCAAAATCCCGATACCCGGAGTGCCGTTCAGTGATCTCTGCGCGGCGTACGAACTGGGGTAAGTACCATGATCGTCTCCTTCCATGAAACGCCGCGCACGCGCTGCTGAATCAGTATCGTGAAGAGTGGGCCGGTGGTAGACAGGCTGAACAAAGTTTCCTTCTGAAGAGGTGTCACTGAAGCTTCCCTCGTGAGGCGGGGGCTGGCCGGGGGCCCCTGAGTGGTACGGAGGGGGTGGAGGTGGGTATTCCTCTTCCATTATCGTCTCCTGCGCGAAATGATTGCGCAGCATACTTCTGGGCAGGCTGATTTCAGAACCGTGTGTCGAGCGGATTGGTTCAAGGGACGACGATGAATCAGCGAGATTACCATTGGTTGAGGGGCTGCCCTCCGATTGGTCAGGATTGCTTCGCCTGGAAAATAATTACATAGTTGTCACAGCTGTGCATCATAGAGTAAACACCCATCTATAAGAACAAGTAATTAAGGACATTAGGCTGGAAGTTGGCCAATAAAGCACCGTACATACAAGAACCAATTCAGCAAGAATAAGAAAGCACTCATATTGAAGTACTATGGTGTACTAGGTAAGGTAAAGTCTGCGAACGAGCCAAGTGCCCCATAAGGCTGGAGCTTATCCCGGTTTCTGTAGCATGAAGCGACTAGGAGTATTTCTACTCCCCCCTGGATGGGACGCTAGTCCATCGCTGGGTTACCCCCAGCATTAAATTCGCCGGTACCCATTTATACACCTGAGCGGAGAGAGGCACTGTGAGAGTAAAGTGTCTTGCCCAAGAACACAACACAATGTCCCCAGCGGGCCAGGGCTGGAACCCGGACCGCTCGCTCCGGAGACGAGCGCACAAACCACGAGGCCACCGCGCCTCCCACACTATGGTGTACTGGACTATACAAACTCTAAGACCCATACAGTACCTGACAGGAAGGATGGGACTGTAGAGCTATAGCTTAGAGTGAGTAATAAAGCATTGTATGTTAATGTATAATGTATAGTATTTCTGGAGCAAATTTTAAGAACATTTTGAACACATCTTCAGGCTGATTTCTCACTAAGCACCAGGTAATTAAGAACGTGATCAGCCTGAACCCCGACGGAAATCATAGGTTTTTATATGTGGGTGTTGACTGTATGACATGAGTAGAAAAACAAAGATTTTTAATGGAAGACTAAAATATTTGGTGTGCCAATTGATGTTAGCCATAAGTTTTTAGGGATTGTACAATTTCCAAAATAGACTTTTACTAACAAGCATCTCAGACCACCGTGGATGTCTTGATATACTTCTAAATTCTCCATTGAAGCTAGCATTAAAACAAATGTATGGCCAACAATAACAGAATTTACCTCTGATCGTAATCTCCTTGTTGTATCTGTAGTTGCTCTCGGAACACCCTCCCCTTCCAGTATTTCCTCCAGTCTGAGCAAAACAATACAAAGGAAAACGCAAAATGTTAAATAATTTTATCAAAACAGTTCTGTATGAAGTCAATGACATTCCACTCCCGTATTGCAAGAACAATTCATGCATTTCTGTCAATATTTTATTGTACGGCTTGTGTTTGTAGCCAATATAAGCCTCTCTTATTGGCTAATTCTAGGACATTATTCTCCCGTAATGCCCATGGGCCGATTACGACCCTGTAAAAACAAAGCAAAAAGCAATATAATAAACGACTTATTAACCTCGAACGTTCGGTTTATACGGGAAAATCTCAAACCTCGGTCTTAGTTGCTGTATTGATTTCGCTATCGCTCGGTCAATACGGCAAGGTCTAGGTCTGAGATTTTCCCGTAAAGACTTTACTCTCGGTTAATAAGTATTTAATGTGCGACTAAGGATACCTCTGACTTGTAACAAAAGTTTACAAAAGAAAGCTTCATGTCAAAAACCTAAGATAAACCTTTCGTGCTTGGTCTACGAACTCGCTTTGAAAGAAATAATCAAAGACTGAAAGACATTCTTACCTCGTGCCGTAGCTAATGCTTGACAATCAGTCAAGAGAAATTGAATGTTGATCAACAACACTTACCGTGAAGTTTGTCGAGGCTTATGTGTCCTCCTCTGAAGGCCACCAGCAATAAACACACGATAACAACAACAATCAACGCACCAACACCGATTAACACGCCGAGGAAGGTAGGATTGCGATAAAATTGCCCCCTCCTGCCTGCTGTTGGATCAACCTCTACCACTTCCTCCTCTGTGACAATGGGATTCCCATCTGATAGAAAATCAACAAACAATTAGGACTTGATTTAAAGAGAAAAAGAACTGAAATCTTTGCATTCTTTTATTTCACATCCCTGGACAGTCCGTTAATTGAGTTTTCTAGAGCCTTGTGGCCTATGGTTGCCTGACAATGGTATCTGTGACGTGAAACGACAAGGGGGGAAGAAAAGGAGGAGAAAAAACAAAGGTTCTGAATTTCCCACTTCCCAGAATATTTAATCACGGTTTCTGCGCCTGTGTTAATGGTTCCCCAATCTCTCTCTCTCTCTCTCTCTCTCTCTTTTTTTTTTTTGCTTTTTTTCCGGCTTAACATATTGGGATACCTCGCAATTTTTCTGCAATTTCTTTAGAACGGAAGAACCATTTTCGCAGTGCCAGGAACCTTTTACTTCTTTTCTTGCTTCCGCATCCTTCTTACCCACTGTCACGGTCCCTCCCCTCTCCTCCTTGACCGTATTGTTACTCCCCTTCAATGGGCTCCAATCAATCAATCAATCAATCAATCAATCAATCAATCAATCAATCAATCAATCAATCCATCAATCATTTTTTATTTCTTAATTTACACTTTAGAGCTGTCTTGGACTGGCCCGCGGATAGCTAGTGCTAGTCTAGGCGGGCCAAACCATAACAGCCCACTACCAGACCCCTCGCGAGACTTAACCTATCACCTCACAGGCCCGATCAAACACTGCAAATTACTCACAAATTACTACAGCGCTACAGTCTTTACCTACCTTTAAATGTAACCTTGAGAACTTTACTGGGCTTTCCCTTCCCGACGGCATTCAGTGCGGAGATTCTGAAGTAGTACACTTTGTTGAAGTCAATTTCGTGTAACACGTAATAGTTGATGTTACTGATGTACTGAACTTTCCAGTCCCTGTCATTGACTTTGTACTCAAGAATGAACATGGTGACGGGACTATTCCCGTCATCCCACGCGCGCCAGGTGATATTGAGAGCGGGAGGGTCAGTGAGGACGTCGAATTTGATTACTGTCGGGGGTAATGGCGGGGCTGGATGAGGAACAAACAGAAAAACACGTTTAAAGCTCTGTTTTTGGTAATTCATACACAGGTAAACTTTGTAAGCTCGAGAAGGACTTGAGATATAGGGCTACATCATGTGACTTGGTCATGACATTATGATATATAATGAGGCCCCATTTGCCGCTTGTTAATTGCTAAATTACTCACTTCTTATTTGAAGCTTCCTTTTCACGGTTTTTCTTCCTAGCTCATTACTTGCCGTACACTCGTATTCCCCAGCGTCCTCCTCTCGGACGTCCATGATCTCCAGGGAACCGTTAGTGAGCTGTAGGTACTTCGTGCGGTCGCTCAGCTCACGACCACTGCTGTACCACATGACTGAGGGCTTAGGGTAACCATAGGCTTCACAGTCCAAAATGGCGGATGTTGAGCGTGTAGCTAAGGTGACCGGCAAAATGTCGTGAAAGATGTTTGCTGGGACTGAAAACAGAACGATTTTATTTTAGGATAAGAATATCGGAGAGAAGGATGTTTTCTTATCATATTGGAGTCTAAAGGCCCTTACGTATGTTACTTCTTCAAAGCTAAAAAGCAAAGGCTTTTCTGAACACGGAGGGGAACCTAAATGTTAAAGGGGTGGGGAGGATCGTCGAAAATTTTGGAAAACTGGAGCGACAATGTCCCCCATTCTGGAAATTCCGGAAAACGTTTACGTTGTTCCATTCGCCACTGGAAGTTTGCAGAATTTCACTCCGTATTTTAGGTCTAATAGGAGGCACCCATCGTTGGTGTATGCTGAAAGTTGTAACTGATTTTTTGAATGACGCGAGCAGTGCGAGGTGCATGAGACTAATCGGCCTACCTTATCACCTCTCAAGCGCATAAAACTAGTGATCGTAAGTATTTCCAAGGTTGCTAATTAGTAATGAAATGATTCTTGACGTTAAAAGAGCAAAGGGACACAGCCGAAAGGTCACGTACAGACTTCTAACGGACGCGAAAATCAAAATCTTTAAACTTAAAGAACTACCTGTACTCCCCAAAGGCTTACACACTTGTGCACTTACTTTTATCTTTTGTCGTTTGTCTTACAACAGTTGACGCGTTTCCGACTCCAACCGAGGTACTTGCTTTAACCCAAAAGAAATACTCCGTATCAGACTCCAGCCAGGGTAGATATTTTGATGTGATATTTCCGCTTATTTTAAGCTCTGTAACTTTGTTGGAGTTTGTAAGAAGCGGGTCGTTGACCGTCTTACTGTAGTAGAGTAGATATGTTCTTATGATGCCATTGGGTTCTATGGGGGGATCCCAGAACGCACGAATTGTTTGTTTGGAGACCGGGATGGCCTGGACTCTACTAGGTGGTCCGGGAACTGAAACAGAAAAAATGTCAATGACGTAATGTTCTAAAAAAAAAATAAAAAACCTCAATTTAATCGAAAAATATTTATAGAGAATGTACATTGTGTAGACGCATAATGTCTTTCCTATAGGGTATTCATGCTGACGTCATTGTTTACAATTTTGCTCATTTGCATACGGCTTTGCGTACAGAAGGAAACATGTTAGATATGAATTGACTTCAGGCAGCTAAAGGGCTGGTGAAACTTAGTACATGGTGAAATTTTTAGCTCTTTGGGTGTAATATTCAAGGAGATATTGTCTTTCAAAAACTGCAAAATTTCTGGGTGGCAAAAGTGCTAATGAGCTCATACATTCTTTGTAAAATTTTGAGTTTTTAAATCCGCGTTGCACAAAAAGTATTCAATACATCAGGCTCATATTCATTGGCAGAGATAACCGTACTATGACCTTTCAATATTCAGAACTGTTTTATTTGTAGCTCCATCAGAAACTGAATTACTTATGCTAATGAGGCAAATATTGTAAACAAGAATTTCCCTATTACTTTCTGTCAACTGCTCTTTATCCAGTATTGTCAAACTTAGTAACGTAACATGTGTTGCTAGAACCAAAATGGGAAAAAACATAGAGCCGCAATGCGTACATATATCTGACTTATCACGCAAGTGTCGCGTTTGGGCGAGATGAAAGATAGGAACATTAAGTTTTGATGTTTTATCAGAAAACTAGAATGAGCAGAGATGAGCAAATACGCCTCAGGTTGGCTTTGAAGCCTTCGAGCTCTGATTGGTTTGGAAGGCCATTCATTTGAAAACCGCCTTACGTTGTCGCACGCGCGATGGTACGTCTAAAGAATCTTAGTGTAATGCTGTTCTGATGTGAAGTTTATATGAAATAATTCATATATGAACTGCGGTTGTAGATGAGAGTGAAGAATGATCATCGCAGTTAATTTTCCAATTTAAGCAA